CCCGTAATGCTGCAGCGACGAATTTGTATTAATACTTAATTGTTCTCACTGTCAATATTTTTGTCCATTTTATTACAATATATGCGAATAATTCAATAAAACACTTGGAAAAGCATTTGTTTCGACATTTGAAGTACTTCCCTTTGACAACCGTATCATGTACCTCATGTACTGCGAATGGACACGGTTGGCATTTAAGATGACGTTACATATTTTCGATTCCCGTGTTTGACACAGACCAATGTAATGCAATCTCTTTTGGGTTAAGACGGCATGTTTTCAAAGACGAAATGCATCATATAACGTCTGATTTATATATGTCAACATAACATGGCCTTTAGTATCCATAATCTAAGATTTAAATTTTATTTTTTTCCATCCTCTAAGATTTAAATACATGCCACTTGTCAATTTAGCCAAAAAAATTAGATAAAAATCTGTTCCGTTCCATGGGATTACGTTCCGTTGTACGTTAGAAAATTGCAGGTCAAAAAAATTTTGTTTTTAATTCAGAATTTCTAGAGAGATCTTTACAAAAAACTAACTGATAGCCTGGTTAAAATTTCCATTCATTTTAGTACCACTAATGGAACTACTCTTGCGAACCTTACCGGACTGCGAGAAATTTTCCTTTAACGGAACTTGATAATGAATATTCATTTTTAACTCCCGGCGCAAAAAGTGTTGTGGTTATTAGTTTGAAGTCTTTGTCTATGTGCCTGTCTGTGACATCGTAGTTCCCAAACGAATGGACTAATCTCACAGTGGGTTTTATTTATTTGAAGGCTAATTTAATAGGAATGGTTCTCAGGCATGTTTGATGTTCAGCTCTTTTCCCAGTCAGTGTCGGGATCTCATGAAACGAATATTTATTTCATTTCCATTTGGCCGAGCGACTTGAAATTCGGTACCTATACTATGGAAATCCGGTGACATTATATTGGTCTGATGCTGCAATTAGGATAGTCTGCTGACTAATTATTCTTTCAACTATTTACAATAGAATTATCATGTTTGTGCTCATTGAAATGGTCTCGTTGCGTTATTAACTTAGAGACGGTGACTTTGTATGATTTTGGAGTAGGTACACTGTTTTGTATCGGAGTTTTTTTAATTTTAAGTTTTAAGTAACAATAGGTAGTTAGATTTGGAGACCTAGTATCATTAGGAGAAGAGCATGATATGTGTATGCGGCATGTCCAGTTCATGTCAGTTCTGGCAACGTAACAAGAAACCCGGCGTGTGTCGCCGCGGCACGCCTCACCCGCCTCGCAAGCCCGTTTGAATGTCTGATCGGGCAGATGACGGCGTTACTGCTCCCTCCTAGTCGGGTAAGTACGGATTATGACCGGTGCAATTCGAAACCCGTGAGCACATGATTAAGTTGTTACTTGACGCTTGCAGTTGGGAGGTTTCGTTTAATATCCGCTGTAAAGTTGCAAATTTATTCACTTTCGAGAGGGTAGGAATGATGTCATCCTTTATTGAGTACAAACCCAATCTGAACGAGCATAAAACCAACTTTCTATTCTATTTTATTTTTTTATATAATAGCAACAATAATTTTAATGGTAACACTACTGACCAACATGTTCACAATTGCGTGACGTATTTAGCGGGAACCAATTAATATGTTCTAGGATGCGGATGACCAATCAGGTTGGTCCGGTTAATTGTTTACAATTGCTACCTGCCTCCGTGGCCGAACCGTTACCATGCCGGACTGCCACGCAGAGGTCCCAGGCTCGATTCCCGGGCCGGGAGAAATACAAATATGTATGGCCTACATTTATTTCTCTCGTGAGTTTGGGTGTAATTTGTGTTTGTCTATTAGTGTGTCCATGACACCCGTGACACAGGGTTTCCCTAACACGGGGCTATGTTGAGTGTGTGCGTTATTATTTACCTGTTTTATGCCTGTTTGTTTTCCTTGAATAATAATATATATATTTAATTAGTCGACACATTTGGCGAGAACCTATAAATAAGTACTAGTTACCGGAGTCATCGAGAGTAAACTAAGAGAAAATAATTATACTCTTAGTACTCTGCCTGTAAGTCTAGCTTATACTGATCCTCCGATCCTACGGTAAATTCTACAAAGTATCAATCAAATCATCATCATCATCACATCAATAAAAGTTAATCACGTCGGGTCTTCTCTCTTTAAGGTTAACAACCGCCGCCGACGAAGCGAAAACGCGAAAATAAATTTGTATAGCGGAGAATACGGTAGACCTGGAACTGTACTAGCTATGGTTCCCTTCCTTTGGACTATAATTCAGATGTACGCGCTCAACGACAGAATATATATTGAGAAATGACTAAATGGGAAAAGTGATAGCGTAAATTGTGACGAGTCTGTCTAGACTTAGCGTAAATGTAATATCATACATTTGTTTATCGGTCTAATTATCAACTGCAGCTCAGACTTTCTAAACAATAAACAAAGACGTAAATCCACTTACCTCTTAACTATTGAAAGAAGTGAAACTTCTTTCGTAGTGATAATAAAATTAAGCTGCCGATCATCATATACAGACCCGAATTAATTTGGAAAAGTTCCTTTCCCAAGTTGGTCCTATTGGGAATCGCACTCGTCACCTCGTCGTCCAGCGTACACAATGCTATCGGATGGGCCACCGAGATCGTCTTTCACTCCATTGTTTGTTTGTTTATTTTGTACGTTTTACATATTGATATCCATCGTAAGGTTGCTTCTGGACGGACTGCATGTGCGAAGACGATATGTAAAAATGCAGTCGACAGTGACTTCAAGTAGTTATCTCCACGAACTAATTTCAGGAGCTCAGTGTATCTGTTGGTGTCGAAATGGACGATGTGGCGGTGCACGAAAGAAGCATCCTCCCACAACACACAATTCCTTCCTGTACGTCTGGCTCACATTGGGGAACAATCGGCGAGTGCTTTGCGCCGATTAGCAAATCCTATCACGATCATGCCACGCATTATGGTGTATGCCATCGATACGATAAGGAGAAGGAGAATGCTACTTGTAGTTTATCACTGCATTCAGAACATTTATGACTTCAAACGCTGTTTTACATTTTATTAACGATTTAAACATATCACTATCGAAATCTTCAATTTTGATTTGTCATCCAATTCACGTCCGCAATCCCCGACTATACTCTGCGGTGGAATTTGCGATCAAAAATGTAAGCAAAGATGCTAATAAAAAAAGAACGTTTTATCATTAAGTTGATTAAACGCTCAAGTTGTCGTTACGCTTGCGCTGAGTGCGTAAACCAGCTGATATTCAAAAATACATAACACCTTTGGATCTCATATTTAATGAATTGCACACGATTAATTTATATAAGGCCGTAAATGTAGATTAATCCTGTCGGTCATTGACATATCGTAGCCGATGTCGTCGGTCTGTACACGTGACGGCAGGCGCGTCTCAGTCAATTGTTCAGTTTTCGGAGATAAGTCGCCCGTATTTCAGTTCAATGAACATTGTCAATGGTCTGTTTGTATTTATTAATGAGCGTAAATTTCGTCAAATGTTAATTTTATGCGAAATTTTAAAATGCGTCTGTACTTATTCCTCTCATATGTTTGACGGTACCCTTTAGAGTCACTAACCAGCTTCAAGGCCCTCGAATATGCACCTGCAGAACACTGCTCAGAAGCTCGCTAATGAATATTTATTGGTAATATTGAGTATCGATTTCAATTATGTAAACCTAGTAACCGAGTGACGGCTGATTAAACGATGTCATATAGTTGGCATAGTCATAAACGCACTTGGACTAAGGGCGACGTGTCTCGGTTAAGCGCGGGCCAGGACCCCTATTCAGAACTCTTCGATATTTTAACCGAATCGTTCGGTTGGATATCGTTCTCGAATCGAATGGAGCTCCGAGCTTCACAACATTCGCGTTAAACATTCGATCCAGATTCGGATACGATACCATTATTATGCAACAGCGTTTACGGAGTTAGTCGGTGAAATAGATTACAAAACTTTAGGCCTAAAATATAAGAATGCAGTGGTCTCGCATGAATATAAATTAATAAAATTTAACAAAATCCAAATCTTATTGGATATTCAAATAATAAGAGATTTCCACATTACATTCTTGCTCTGTAAACAATTGGACGTTCAGTAATTTTCATTCGATAACTGTGTTCTGAATAACGTTTGAGGTCCTCGGTCGAGAAGTTCGGGTAATCGTACGGGTGTGACGTCATTTCGGTTCGGTTTCGAATACGACAGTTTGACGATCGATTCGGGTGTTGTGAATAAAAATGAAAAGAAATCGTACGATATGAAATCGAACCGGTCGACAACTGAGTTATCGTAAGGTTCTGAATCGACACCCAAGCGTGACACGTGTCGGCTGTGACCTTTACCAATTTTAAAACGGGTTTATGTTGATATGTCAAGTTCCAAGAAACGGCTTGTGAACAAAATAACAAAGAGATTTGTCAGTGGATTTGTAAGGGTTCTGTTCTATTTTTCATGAAATTCCGATAAATTTTGTAGTACCTTCGATTACTGCTTTCAAGCAAAGAAAACAAAAATGTAATTGTTTCGAATTCGCATTCAGAAAACTGTTTCTTGACGATCATTCTATCCCTTATTTAATGCTATGCTATGAAAACGTGGAACTGGTGAAATTACAGGCACGTGAGACTTGTCAAATTACGTCTCAGGGTGACGGGCGCTGTGGCTGTGTCCTTCGAATCTTTGCTATTTAAAGCTCTGAGTGGCACTGTAACTGTTATGAAGAGGCTTGTAGCTTACCATCAGGCGTACGACTTGTTCCTCCCGTCACTTGATATTATGAAAAAAAAAGTCGATGCAAAGAAGTTGTGTAATTTAAGTAAGAATATAGATGTTTTCCCTAATTTTTCGCCGACAATATATTCTGAACGTTGACTGAAATATTGCCGTTTTACTGGGTTTTCTATTTATTTTAATACCTGACTAAAGCAGTTCAATGTTTGGCATTATATTTTAGTAGCGGTAGAGCTCTGTAGTACATGTGGGTAATATTGAAATAAACCAGTCGTTGTTTAGACCTTGAACAGTGTGTATCATTTATACATTTCACAACTACTACATGGTGTCAGGTGTGGCCTAAGGCAGAATAAGTGCAAAAATAGTGGTTTTGTGTTGTTTGTGAAGTGTGTGATATAACTGCAAACAATGACGAGCAAAACAACGACTCGCGGCGAACCGGCCGGGCCGAGCATGACGTACTCGGCAATACAACAACCGGCCGCCATGAGCGATGCGGGCAACGTACTTATGAACTGGCGTGAATGGAAAACCTTGTTCGATTGCTACATCATTGCAGCTGGAAAAGAAAAGGCGTCTTCTCGTGAGAAATGCGCTTTATTTCTACATGTCATTGGCAAAGCGGGCAGAGAAATATTTGAGGAACTAGACTTAGATGACAAGGCAAAAACTGATTACGACGAGCTGGTCCTAAGATTCACCATGCATTGTGATCCAGCTCGAAATGTTAATTTTGAAAGGCATTTGTTTTTTGAGATTTATCAAGGAGCGGAAAAGTATGAAAAATTTCTAAGTACCCTTAAATTACAAAGCAGTTTGTGAATTTGGAACTCTGCGAAATAGCCTTATCCTCACGCAAATGATACGAGGCATAAAAGGTTCATATATGCGGGAGAGACTACTGGCTATAAGCAAATTGGAGTTGGATGACGCCGTGTCATGGTGTCGCGCTGAGGAGGGCCCATAGGCGCGGGGGGCACCTGCTGCCGCCGCCTCATTGTTATCAGTCAGGTGTATGTGCGTGTGTGCGTGTGATAAGTGCGGTGGCACTCACAGTGAAAGTGATATGTGTGCAGCTCGTAAAGCAGTGTGTTATCGGTGCAAACGGGTGGGTCACTTTGCTAAATACTGCCGAATGAAGTCGTTACATGAAGTATCAGGTAACGAATGCGAGGAAGACGCCGAGTTATGTGAGTCATTACTATATAGTATATCTATATATACATAGAATGTTGAGTGTAAACCTTGGTTTGAATTGGTTTATGTAAACAAAATCTCTATCAAATTCAAACTAGACAGTGGCGCAGATGCCTCAGTGATGTCACTAAACTCTTTCAAGAAAGCAGGTTTCAATGACAAAATGTTAAAAAACAGTAATATAGTGTTGAGAGAAATTAGTAAATCGAAATTGTCTGTTTTATGTTGTTTTGAACCGGAGCTGGAATTTAATCAAATAAAATTATTGCAAAAAGTGTATGTACTTGATTTAGACTGTAATAACCTTTTAGGTTTGAATGCATGCATTATAATTTAGGATTGATAAAACGAATAAACGAATTGAACATAATGTCTTTGATGGTTTACGTTGTTTGCCATCTATATGCAAAGTAGACATAGATAAAAGTGCAACACCTGTAGTATGTGCTTCGCGATAAATTCCAATTAAGATGAGGCCTAAGCTAAAAGAGGAATTAGATAATATGATTAAATTAGGTGTTATACAGAGAGAAGACGCCCCCACTGATTGGGTCTCAAATACAGTAATCGTAGAGAGAGACCTGATAAGAAAATTCGGTTATGTTTAGATCCTTATGATTTAAACCTGGCAGTACGTCGTTGTCACTTTCAGTTACCTACCTTAGAAGAAATTGCGAGCAGCATGAGTGGCGCAGTATATTTTTCTAAACTTGATGCATTTTCGGGGTTCCAGAAATCAACTACCTCGGGCATATATTTAATAGTGATGGTATGAGGCCAGATGAAAAAAGAGTAGGTGGTATAGTAAAAATTTCAAAGCCCACAGACAGGAAAGACTTGGAGAGATTTTTAGGCTTGACAAATTATTTGTCAAGATTCATACCTAACTATGCGCAAGTGGCAGAACCTCTTCGAGTACTATTAAAAAGAGATAATGATTTTATTGGGAATCACACTCAGAACAGTGCGTTTGAATAACTGAAAACACGAATAAGCTTAGCTCCTGTACTCCGCTACTACAATCCGCGGGAGTCTATGACGCTGGCGGTGGATGCACGGGCTGGGAGCGTGCCTGCTGCAGGTCGGGCGGCCCGTCGCATACGCAGCGCGCACGCTCACACCTAATGAGGTGCGTTGGGCGCAGACAGAAAAGGAACTCCTTACAATCGTATTTGGATGTGTGCGCTTCCATCAGTTTGTATATGGTCATAAGCAAGTGGTAGTGGAAAGCGATCATAAGCCTTTGGAAATAATATTCAAAAAGGCTCTAAAAGAAACGCCGGCTACACTTCAGCGTTTATTATTAAAACTACAATATAATTATTAAACTACCATAGAATATTGTGTACAAGCCAGGAAAAATGATGTATATGGCGGACGCGTAGTCGCGGGCTGCGACGGAACAAGGCACGTATGATGTCAATGCGATGTATGAAAGTGTAGATGCATCATCTGAATGTTTAGAGCGAATTAAACTAGAGACGGCCAAAGATGAAGTTTAAATGGCCGTAATCGATTGTTATCAGAATGGATGGCCAAATAATAAGAAAAGTGTGACTGAGGCTATACGACCATTTTGGTCAATGAGACAGGAGTTACATGTTATTAATGGTATTTTATTCAGAAATGAGAAAATAGTATTTCCGAAATTACTAAGAAATGACATGCTAATAAGAATTCATGAGGGACATCAAGGAATAGAGAAGTGTCAAAGACGTGCACGGGCCGTGATATGGTGGCCGGGTATGAGCGCATAGCTGGAACAAGCTGTGAACCGCTGCAACGTGTGCCAACGTCACCGCGCTGCGCAGCCGCGTCTGCCGCTGATACCGCAAGTGGCAAGTGCTCGCCGCAGATCTATTCGAGTACAAAAGTGCTCACTATTCGCTGAATTCAAAGAATTTAGTGAAAGTTGGGAATTCCGCCATGCGACTAGCTCACCGTTGTACCTTAGGTCCAACGGACTAGCTGAAAGAAATGTCCAAACACTCCAATAAGCGGTGAACTTTACTCTCCAGCCCAACTTCTTATGGGGAGAAGTTTGAACACGAACTCCCCGCCGCCGGACACTCACTAGACCCTCGACCGGTTGCGCCGACTGAGGTGAGAGCCTCGAGAACTCGTAGAGTAGCTCGCATGAAGGACAGCTATGATCGGGCTACGAAGGAGCTCCCAGCATTACATCTGGGTACTAGGGTGCGCGTTAGAGACGGCAAGGTTTGGGTAGGAGCACAAATAGAACGCAGAGATACTAACGAACATTCTTACTGGGTAAAAAGTGACAACGGCGGAATTTACAGGCTTAATCCGGAACACATATTTCTAGTGCCAGATGGCACTGATGATCAGGTGTATCAGCGAGTACAGGGTCGCTTGACGTATATGACGAGCACTGAGGACGAGACAACCTCGCCCACGGATCTGAAAATAGATATATTTAAAAAAAGTTTACATAGAATACTAGTAGGTACTAATAAGTGTATACAAAAGATAAAACGAATAAGTGTTTTATGGAGATGAGACTGTTTATAAGCTAAACCATTTCATGTTTACAAAATTAATCTACCTTACAGGATAAACCATGTACTGTAACGTAAGTAAGAAGTATATATAGAGATAAGTTATTTATATATATTCTTAATTAACTATCTTACAATAATTAGAGTAAGGGAGATATAGTATATGTGGGTAATATTGAAATAAACCAGTCGTTGTTTAGACCTTGAACAGTGTGTATCATTTATACATTTCACAACTACTACAAGCTCCTTGTGAAAGAGTTCGTCCACGGAAGTACTGCCACCTTACCTATTCTGCCGCCAAGCCCCTCAGTGTCTCTCAGATCTTTGTGATTTAAAGCTCTGAGTGGCACTGTAACTGTCATAAAAAAAAACTTTGACAATTACAAAAACCAAAATATGACTATCTTTTTTCTTTACCTTGTATAATTAACATAGAAAACGTTTGCCTGACGACAGACCGAAGTGGCTGGACGTCCTTTCCTAGGTTTTTACGAGCGTAAGTTGCACGTGCCATCGGAAACGTGAAGGTCGCGCTTCGTACGTCGCTGTGTCATACTCCTTGTTTGGAAAAGATTTTTCACTATACTCATCTCGCTATAGTCATCGTGGAAAATTTATCTATCTGTCGAATTGTTTCGCTGCATATAAATCTCATAAGACCCAATTTTTCTTCTTTCCGCTGATAAAAATGTACGTTTTTAATTTTTTTGTAATACTCTTGCAGATTCTATAACGTCGAGACTCCTTTGTTAAAATGGTGGGGAAATTCTACTGGGTGTAGTCCTACGACTTGTATATTCAACTACTGCGTACAGGTCTTTAGAGATCTTGTACCTAAGTACAACAACTGAGAAGTGAAGTACTGGAAAAACATATATATTAATTGTATGTATCTCAGTTATATTGTTATCTCAGTATATTTTTAAGTAAAATTACGGTTAGTTACATAATTATGCATTACCTTACTACAAAAGCCACAAATAACCAGTTCTCCCTGAATCGTTTACACGTGTACGCGCTGCCAATGTCACGATCGCAATGACCGACGTTTTTGTGAAGTAAAAAAAAGTAAAAAAATATACCTACAATAGATACTATAAAAACTTAAACTTTGCTCTGTTTTTTACACGCACATTAAATAAATACTATTGAACCTCATATTTAAGCTGTTGTAGGTCAAACAAGGTTTCGAGACTTAGTACTTTACAATTACGGCAATAAAAAAAAATTGAAACGCATATAACTATGGTCTTGTACATAAGGTGCTTGACCTTAACGGTGCATCATCGTACCTAGAATACTTCTTCTATGAATCTTCTGTATTCTTGTAGTCCTTCCACCGCGCCGCCTTTTGCCAGAGCGAGTTAGCCAAAACAATCTCCGGCTGGGCGACCGAGGGAATACACGTGTTCTCAAGCGTTCGGTCACGTTCGCCCGGCACGCCATAATTTTTTGACGTCACTCTATACTTATTTAACAATCCACATACCTACACAATTAGCCGCCTATATTTAACAAAAACATTTACATATTCTCCGAACTCGGATGAGTACGCATGTTTTTTACTTGGCTAAAGGTTAGACAAAGGACTAAAGATAAATAATCAACTCCGCAAAGGAGCACATACCAATACAATAAGTGCGTAAGCACGCACTGTTGCCACATTACACATACTTCGAAGAAGGCTTTCCCGCTGGTAACTCCCTGAGTTAGGTCAATTATGTAACAGATGGAGACAGTACCGTCTTTGCGGCTGTCATAAATACATCTCTTTATCGAGTGCATGTGCGGATTGTTTATTGCCCGGCCGCCCGAACACGAGCAACCGTTGCTACAGTGACGTTTAGTCACTAACTGCTGTCTCCGAGCGATCACTCTATCATTATTACCTACTTGGATTGGAAATTGTTTTCGTAAACTTGCGCTTGTTATTAGCAGCGAAGCAATAATTTTTATTTCAAGTAAAAAAATAGAGTCCAGTCAGTAAAAAGTAAGGTACATGTGCACCGATAGTGGCCTGTTCTGTTGATAAATGGCATACAATAATTGCAACTATGTAACCAACAAGTTCTGTCATTTCTTATCTCTGGATGTAAATAAGTAAGTTCCATTTAGTACTCTGAGATGATTGACGTGGTTGAGCAATTGTTAGGAACTGGATAGGTGACCGCAAATGTCATAACAGCGTCGTCAGAGCGCGTAAATCTTATCCCAGCCTTTGTCAAATATGCGTTTAGACTATGTTCTA